GGTGGGTGGGTGGATGGGTGGATGGATAGATGAATGGATGGGTGGGTGTGTGGATGGGTGGATGGGTGGATGGGTGGGTGTGTGGATAGATGGATGGATTGGTGCACCGATTGATGGTTGTTTGGTTGTTTGGTTAGTTGTATGGATGCATGGATAGATGAGTGGATGGATGGACAGGTGGACAGATAAGTGTTGAAAGATCAATGAATAATAGATGGATGAGTGCATGGGTAGGTGTATGGATGGATAGATGGATGGGTAGACAGATAGATGAGTGTGGAGAGATTAGTGAATGGATAGATGGATGAGTGGATGGGTGGGTGGGTGGATAAGTAGATAGGTGAATGGATGGGTGCACTGATGGATGGGTGGGTGGTTGGTTGGTTGTGTAGATGCATGGATGGATGGATGGACAGGTGGACAGATCAATGAATGAATAGCTGGATGAGTGGGTGCATGGGTGGATGGGTGAAGGACAGGTAGATAGAGATAAGGAGAAAGACAGATGGACAGATGAAATACATAGAAACAAATGGATGGTAGGTAGATTTACATGGTGGATAGAAAGCTATAGTAAGGGGCTGGGGATGTGGCTCAAGCAGTAGCGCGCTCGTCTGGCATGCGTGCGGCCCAGGTTTGATCCTCAACACCACATACAGAGATGTTGTGTCCGCCGAAAACTAAAAATAAATATTAAAAATTTTTTTCTCTCTCTCTCTTTAAAAAAGAAAAGAAAAAGAAAGCTATAGTAATTTGAACACATTGTTCCCAGATGTGGGTTGGGTTGGGTAGACTTGGTGCTGGGCACCAGACACCTAAGCTATTGGAGTTGTGCCCTGGGTGTATCTATCTACACACAGTGATGGGTAGAAGGATAGAAAGACCAGTGGATCCATAGATTAACTGATGGCCACTTAGACACGTAGGAATTGCTGGATAGACTCACAGATAGCAGGATAGATACGTGGCTGTGTGGATACGTGGATGGATGCGTATGACAGGCGGGTGGTCTGATGGATGGTTGGATGATAACAGATAGATAATAGATGTGAAAGATGGATGAATGGATGGATGGGTAGATACTTAGAGAAATGGATGTATGGACAGATAAAATACATACAAATTGATAAGTGATAAATATATGGGTGGACAGTGGGTGGGCATGCTCCCAGGATATGGGCCCTGGGGCAAATGTGTGACCAGGGGTCCTGATGGTGTACGGGAGGCAGACACACAGTAGGGCTTCTTCCAGTTCACCTTCTCGTCCCGCCTTCTCCACGCTTCCCCCAGTTCTTGGAGGTGGGTAGCCCAGCTCCACCTCCCACAGATGCTCAAAGGAGGAGACCCACTCACCCAAGGTCCCTAAACCTACCAAAGGCTGGGCCACCAGGCACATGTACCCAACCTTACTCCCACGCCATGTCACCCACCACCAACTACAGAGATGATTCCCTGGGTCTCCTTATCAGCGCACAAAGGGCTGAAGGTGCTGAAGGGACAAACTCGCAGGTCATAACAGGTGGAGTTTTACAAGAATTCTTGTCACCAACAGCGTTGGATGCCAGTCCACGCTATGACACCTGGAATTCACCAACCCAACTGAGTGAGGAGGAGAAGCAGCCTTCACACTTTCTCCAAGGGAGACTTCCCTTATGGTACGCTACAGTTTGGATGTGGAATGTCCCCCAAAGGCCACACGGGTGGAAGGCTTGATTCCGGGTTTGGTGCTATTGGAAGGAGGTGGGACCTTTAAAAGGTGGGGCTTAGGAGGAGGAAGTGAGGTCATTGGGGGAGTGGCCTGGAACCTCAGCCTCTCCTCTCTGCTTTCTGGCCACCAGAAGGGGACCAGCTTCCTCCACCTCGCACAATCCCAAAAGCACCTGAGCTTTAACCGAAAGCTCTCAAAGTATCATCCAAAAACCTTTCGTCTTTTTAAGTCGATTATCTCAAGGTATTCGTTCTAGTAACAGAAAGCTGACGGATACATGACAGATGAGGCCATACATTCAACCCAGGCCCAGGTCCCACTGCTGGAGGGGTGTCATGGAAGGGGATTATGACCTTGAACGGATTTACTGTTGCCTAAAGAGAAAAGGCATGATCTGGTCGTTCATTTTTACAAACAAAAAAGTTGCTGCTGGCTTTCATTCAACGCACCCGAGAGAATGAAATGCAGGATGCGAACGATCATTAAGAGGAAGGAAGAGAAGAAGGAGTGTCCCATTTCTCAGACACGGAAGAAATAGTGTGTTTGATTTGCAGCTATGCATTGCTCCCCCCCCCAAACAGCCCCCCAACCTTCCTTCACAGGGCAATTTTGGAATGCAGCCCGCCATCTTGAATCTACCCACAAACTTTCTTCAGATCAACTTCCGATGAAAAGCTTTTGAGGACAGAACAGGCAAGATCCGAGCCAAAGACAGGAATGAGGACACCAACCAGCCCCCAGCAAACGGCAGAGAGAAGACGAGTGGATCAGAGGCAGACAGAGCCCGAGTTGGACAAGCTGAGGCTGGAAATTTGGATTAAGGATAGACATGTGCATTGGGCTGGCTGCAGAGCTGGCCGAGAGCATCCATCAGGAGTGATGGGCAAGGCAAAGGGATGCAGCTGTCACCTCCAGAGATTCCTGAGCACCGGGGTCTCTGCAGGGCTCCCCAGGGACCTCCTGACTCGGATCCAAGGATTCCTCAGCGGGGCCACCTTTGACTCGATTCGCTGCCTGCTAGAAACACAACCATTCCATCGTTAGTCTTCAAGAGGATGCAGGGAATGCTCATCTTCGCCCAAAGGACGGAGGAAACGAGATAAAAATGAAGATGCCCTACTCGATAGCCTTTGCGGGGAGGGGAGTACCCATGCTTACAATCAATCAATCAATCAATCAATCAATCAATCAATAAATAAATAAATAAATAAATAAATAATGGGCGGCTCAGGAGGCCGAGGAAGGAGGATTGCAAGTTGGAGGCCAGCCTCGGCAACTTAGAGGGGGCTTAAGCAAATCAGCCAGAACCCTGTCTCAAAATATTTTAGAGGGGCTGGGATGTGGCTCAGTGGTTCAGCACCCGTGAGTTCAATAGCCCTAGTAGCAAAAAAAAAAAAAAGAAAGAAAAAAGAAAAAATTTCAATTAAAGTTAAAAATTAAAAATTTTCAATTAGAGTTGGCTCCTCTTTTTTCACAGGGGCTATGTCCCAAGACCCCCGGTGGATGCCAGAAGTCTTGCACAGTACGGAACCCTGTGTATGGTTTTTCCCCCCAACCTATGCATAGTTCTGATAAAGCTGAATTTGCAAATTTGGGCACATATTGGTTTTCTTTCTTTCTTTTTTTTTTTTTTTTGGTTTTATTGGTTTTCTTTTCTTTTTTCTTAATTTTTTTTTAAAATTTAAAGACAAGGTCTCATTAAGCTGCTTCAGTTCTGGCTAAGTAGCTGAGGCTGGCCTCCGTCTGGCAATCCTCCTGCCTCAGCCTCCAGAGCCGCAGGCGTGCACTACCACGTGGCTCTTTTCTGTTCCTGGCTAAAGCCTTTAGGCGATTCAGGGTGAAGTGGGAAAACCCGGGGTCTGCTGGGCTGATGCAGATCTTCTGAGAGAAAGGACAAGCGACAGACAGAGAGCATGTGGGACAGAAGGGGCCAGTGTACCCGGCTGGGTTGGGTCTCAGCGACGTCTGGAAATGGCAGGGCCAGCGGTGGCCGAGGCGCACACGGGATCCCGGCCGGAGTCAGGGTGTCAGGGCGGCCTCCCGTCTGTTATGAAGGAAGAGCTGACAGGTGAGACCCGGACCTTGGCATGGACACAGCTTTACCAACAGGTGGGCAGGGTCCCTGCCTCCAGGGTGCCAGGGACACCTGGCCTCAGCTATGGAGACCGAGTCCGGCCGGTGCCAGGCAATGTTCTCTGCCGTAGCTGCTCTGTGCACAATGATGCTCTCACAGGGTCACAGCTGCACGGACAGAGCAGGACGCCGGGTCCCTGAACAGCTTCACGGAGCCCAGGAAACCCTGTGCCACCCAAAACTTGGATGCGACTCAAATCAGAAGCTCGCTTTCAACTTGGGGTGGGGGTGGACAATGATGCCCGCCTGTCATCCCAGGTACTCAGGAGGCTGAGGCAGGAGGATGGCGAATTGGAGGCCAGCCTCAGCAACTTAGCGAGGCCCTAAGCAACTCGGCCAGACCCTGTCTCAAAATAAAAAAAAAATGCAAAATAAAACCGGGGCCAGGTGTTGGGGGCACACACACCTGTCGTCCCAGCGGGCTCTGGAGGCTGAGGCAGGAGGATGGCCAGTTGGAGGCCAGCCTCAGCAACTTAAGCAAATTAGTGAGACTCTGTCTCAAAGTAAAGATAAAAGAAAGGGCTGGGGATGTGGCTCTGTGGGTTCAAGGTTGGGTACCGAGGTACCTGGGATTGAACCCAGAGGTGCTTAACCACGGAGCCACATCCCCAGCCCTTTTTTATTATTAATTTTCATCTATATTTTATTATTTTTTTAATATTTGATTTTGAGGCTGGCTTCAGCCTTGGGATCCTCCCGCCTCGGCCTCCCGAGACACTGGGATTAGAGGTGTGCGCCACCGCGCCTGACCCCACAGGTTTATTAAAAACAATACTAAATAAAACATAAACCTAAAAAAAAATTGTCAAATCAATATCCCCCTTATTCTTACCAATAACTAGAAAACACGTCCATCTTTACACAAGATGAAGAGAGAAACCCAAGAAATAGTATGGGGCCAACGCAGCCTCTCGGCCAGGTTTCGGGAAGCTGGTGAACAAATGGGTTTGTCCTTACGGGACTGATTCATCCACAATAGACTGCCTGACATTCAATTCACCTTGAAAGAAGAGACCGTGGCCTGGGACACGGTCCAGAGACCCGTGGGTAGCTCTAAGGAAGGACAGGCGGACGGAGCAGAGAAGCCCAGAAACGAAATCCAACGAATCCAAAATTTTGCTCTCCGCCCAGAAACGTGTGAAAGTTGGAAGAGGGATACCAAAAGAATCCTCTTCTGGACAAGGATAGTCTGATTCAGAATTTCAAATTATTTTTGCAAAAAAAAAAAAAATTTCCCATAAACCATGTCTAGCCTTCCATTTCCAAAAATTAACCATCCTGTGAGAAGACAAGATCAAATGAGTGAAAACCAAGAGAAAAACCAAACCCAACAACAAGCATCAGACCTGCGGGAACGCAGAAAAAGGATGGATCAGACACAAGACCATCAGCAATGCGAGAAATAGACTCTGAAATCGGGAAACAGCCGCAGAATGTCCGTGTGGTAATGACACTGCAGCCATCTGCTTGCTTTATGGGGCTGCATAGTATTCCACTCTAGGAATTCGCCTCGATTGGTTCACACATTCACCTCTGGATGGACACTTGTTCCATTGCAAAGCTACTATATATAAAAGTGCTACCATCTTTATGGACATTTGAAGCCAGCCTCAAAATCAAACATAAAAATAGAAATAAAATATAGATAAAAATAAAATATAAGCTTTCATTTCTCTTGAGCAAACTTCGGAGTGGAACGGTTGCATGACGCAATAGGCGCATGTTTAATGTTCGAAGAAATTACAAATTTCCCACCTGCAGATACTGTCATTTTGTTTGCAGGAAAAATCAAAGAGAATGTTGTGTCGTCGCCTGAAAAAATCCAGCACACCGTCTGGATTCAGAAGTCACATGCATTTCTACACGCCAATATCAGGAAAATAAATTAAGCAATGGGCTATTTACTTAGTCTCAAAAATTAACAAGCCTAACGAAACAAAAAAGTCCACTGCAAAAAAATAAAATAAAATAAAATAGTGTCGAGAGAAATTAAAGATAGAAGTATAGAAATGGACCAAGTTCAGAGAGTTGGAAGGCTCAGTTCCTTGGAGACGTTAATAATCCTAAAACTGGTTTACAGATCGAACGAAACCCCAGCCAAAATTCTGGAAGTTTCTCTTTTTAGGAGAAAAAAAAAATCACCATGCTAATTATTTTATATAAAAATGTCCCGGGGGTTAGATAATGGTTATCATTAAACACTCAAAGGTAGCTCTTTTGAATAAACACCCCTAGAATTCACACCCAGCTTTTCTGCAATAATAATAATAATAAATAATAATAATAATATATATTTTTTGAGGGGTGGGTCTCAAAAAATATATATTATTTTTTGGCTCCTCAAAAAAAAAAATCAAGACTCCAGAATCTGCAATTCAATAAATGGCCATAAGGGGGCAGCAGGGCTGCAAAATTCATTCAGAAAAAAAAATTCATTCACCAAAAAAAAAAAAAAAATTCATTCAGGAAATACACGGGGTTTTACAACTGCAACGACCGTCATTTTTTTGGGGGAAACAGGCTCCTCATAAAATACACAGGTGCCGTGCTGCGAAGGTGTTCCCCAAAAGTTCATGCTTGACACACAGACGTAACCCCCAGAGCCATGGGTTAATGGTGTTGGAGGAAGAGTTTGGAGATGTCATGGGGCTACGTGAACTGATGAGGGTAGGACCACCCCCCAAAGTGGCTTCAGGGGAACAGATTTCTCTGTCTCCCCACGGGACATCTCTGCCATGAGCTGGAGAAACCTCTTTTCTTTATCGGTTTCCCCGCTCCACAGCATTTTGTTATAGCAACGTCAAACGGGCCAAGGCCAGAGTCCACCTGCCCAACCACTATTCACAGAGGCCAGGGCGGCCGAGGGGGACAGGAAAGTTGAAAGGGTGAGAAACGGGTTTACACCCAGCACTTTTCTCCTCACTCCTATTTGGACCACAGATCTCTCTCTGGTTTCTCTCCGATTCTAGCGTTTTTCCCTCAAGTGTTCACACTCTAGAAGATTGGTCCCCGGTGCGGCGACATTGAGAAGTGGCACATCGGATCGTGGGACCCACTGAAGAGCCTCCAAAATCCTGACCTGTCTGGACCTCTCTCCTTTATCCATCCCTCGGTCTCAGGTAGTTTATGATAGCAATGATAAACAGACCGACTCATAATTTGGCCTCTAAAGGAGTGTGAAAGGTACCCGTTTTCGGTACGAGTTCAAATTCACTATTTTTCATGCGGGGAGGGAGAGTACTGGTGAGGGAGCCCAGGAATTCTCCACCACTAAGCTGAACCCCCCCCCCAGCCCTTTTTACTTTTTTAAAAAAATTTTTAAGACAGGATCTCACTAAATGGCCGAGGCTGGCCTCCAACATGCGATCCTCCCGCCTCAGCCTCCCAAATTGCCAGGAGGATTGGTAGGTTGAACGTAAGCAATGAATTTTCTACTTGTATTATTTTTACTTCATGATGAGTTCAGGACTCCAACCCATCTGCAAAACCCCCTTTGTTAGTACAAGGTTGTGCGGGGTCAGGGCGTGGGCGCCTCTGGGCAGAGTGTGGGAGGCGGGTACTCACATCTTCCCCTCCTTCAGGGC